CCTGTTTCCTGGCAGGTTGTGGACTGACTGGGTTTGTCTTTAGGGGACTTTCAGGGCTGAGGAGGGTGAAGAGAGTCTGTCCTGGCATGAGATGTGAGGGAGGTCAGCCCCAGCACACCAGGACCCAAGGATCAGCTGGCTGCCTATGGCTTACCTCGGTGTGGAGGCCCAAACAGGACCCATAGAATTTGCACAGCAGGGCCACTGTGATCTATAACGGGGAGACCTAGGAAACAGACCCCACTCAGAGGCTGTCCTCGGTGCCGATGCAGTGTGGTGAGGGAGGCTGCATCTTCCAACACCGGGCCAATCCACCTCTGCTGATGCTTCTCCCCGATGTCCACCTTTACATTGCACTGCCCCAAGACCAGGCTTCTCCAAAGGGCAGCCTTTTGGGGAAGGATCATCTTTGCAAACTATGGTAGAGGTCGCTTGTGTTTCCCATGGGGGCCCCTCCCAAACACTACAGGGTGCTGCTTACTCAGTTGTCCTTGAATCCTCCCAACAAGCCTTAGCTGAGGAGGCAAAACTGACAGGTGCGGGGCAACACATCATGTGTCTGCACCCTGGAATGGTAGACAAGGAAGCAGACAGAGCGCTCTCTTCCTAGGAGCCAAGGAAGACTCACCCTGGTGAATGCCTCTTGTTGCCAAGAAGACAGCATTTCAATGATGGAGGTGTTATCTCCCGTAGGGAGGGATTGTGACGCCCTCCCACCTCAATCCCGCACAGCAGAAGAACAGAGTCATACATCTGGGTGCCAGGGGCAGGGTGGAGAGGACTTAAACAAACATTAAAAAACTGACTCAGGGGGTAATGGAGACCATCCTGACCTTAGTGCTCAAAGGAGGCCACAAAGTATGTGCATACTCTCTCCGCCACAGCCTTGGTCCTAAACGAAGGCCACCCTCAGGGACAGGCCAGGTTCAGAGACATCGCTGGCTGGCTCACAGTCACCAGCCTCTGGTTCTCACAGAGGTGGCATAATTCCAGTGTGTTCAGTGGGCAGCAGATAGGTGAGCAAAAACAAACTAAATCACAAACAGATTGCCAAGAGCAAACAAAATGGAAGGAAGCAATTGCTGAGTTAAGTTCTGTCCACAACTAATTGGAGCTACAATTGCCCTGCTGCCCTGCAGAAGGCGGCGCAGCACAGGGAGGGCAGGAGCCCACTGCCTTGTCCTCCTGGCCCTAGAGCCAGGGTGACAAAGGATCCAGGGTAAGAGGCCTGAGGAAAAGGTGCTCCCCAGGAGTGCTAGGATCTGGGCTGCTCAGACACTCCCAGCCCAGGGGCAGCCCTGAAGATAGGGATAGAGAGGGTCTGCATGTCAGTGTTGAGAAGGACAGAATCACACAATTACAGAATCTTTAATTATCAAAATTTTCTTTTTCTTTTTTGCTTTTTTTTTGCTTTTTTGGGGTAACATTGGTTTACCACACTGCATATGATTTAGGAGTGTAGGTTGAACCTCTTCAGAAATATGTGATCACACCACACCCGCCACCAAGGCACCCAGAGTCCTCCACCATAGTCCATTCTGTCCACCTCCCTCCTTTACTCCCCAATTCTCACCTTCCCCCAAACAATTTTACAGAAAATGTTTTAGATCAAGAGATTTTAGCAAATTGGTTAAATACATAAAAATAAATAATTTCTTTGTGCTATTAATAAACTTTAAAAACTTACTTTTAAAACATCATTAACAATGGCAGCAAAATGATAAGGCATTCAGAAAAAGTACTTGACAAAAGAGACCAATTTCTCTTGGGGAAATTTCAGGAAATTTCATTGAACACCTAACTACTGGCGACACTGCCTTGTTACTGATAGGGGAGTCTGGATTGTAGAGTCACATCCCTCCAATGGGTCCCCATATCCATAGGACTGTAATCAAATATTATGAAGGTTCACACATAGAGATGGGATGCTCTATATTTAAAAGTTTTTAAAAGTTCAGGGGGTTCCGATGATTTCCATGGAGCAAACACAGCAGTACAGTTCTCTCTCAATTTCTGGTCCATGCAAACTATGAGCATGATAAAGTGCTTCTTCTTTGACTTAGTAAATTTGGGGTGGTTGATTCACGTCAGTGGGTAAGTGGAAGCCCTCCTTCACAAACAAAATTGCACCACTTTCTTCAACTTCTAGATCCTCCCATCTCCTAGAAGATGTCAGTGTTCACTCACTTGGCCATTACAGCACTCTGGTCTCCCAGCCGTGACCCCCTCCCCCACAGCGATGTCCTTGTCTGAGCCACCCCAGCTGCTCTGGCAGTTTGCAAAGACTCAGCTTCCTGGAGGATTATAATGGCCATCAGCGAGGGCTCAGGGACAAATGGAGGTTCCTCTCAAAGCCCCTTCAGAGATGCCATGACTCCCCTCTGGGAATATCAGTAGGCAAATCAGTGAGCCAAGCTACAGACCACAGGGTTGCCATGCCAACCTCCCTGTCCATCACAACACAGGGCATTATGTCTCTATGGGTCAGGGAGACACCCTGGCAGGCAGTGGGGCCTCCACCCAGAATCAGTCCTACTCTGTCCCCAGAGCAGAGATTAGTGTCCCTTGCAGCCTCAGGGCTGCCCAGAAAATGGGAAGCAGTTGGCCCGGGATGCCTGGGCTTGCATTTTTCCTTCTGCTGGTACTGCCTCCTCTGCTGGCAAACAGTGGGGCATACCAGCACAGAGTCCTGGCCTCGGGAGACATCCAGAACCTCCAGAGAAACCGCCACAACATTATCAACCTGGACGGGGAGCACACCCAGGAAAATGGGTCCAAGGAGAGGCTGGCAGATGAAAAGAAATCCTGCCAGAGCAACCTTGACCTTTATTTGATAATAGACAAGTGAGTGGATCTCCTACTTTGGCCAGAGACTTGGGGGGGCCGCTGTCTCAGGATACGATAGAGGCAGACGTGGCCAAGGGAACCCAGTTTGTGTGAGGGCAGAGTAAGTGTCGAGTCCTGCTCAGGTGCAAATACAGACCTTGGTGGCCTCCTTGCTCCTGAGGCAGAAGGATGCCCGGCCTTCCTTCCTTGAGGCTTTTCATTTGGGAAAGAATAAAGCCCATGCCCACCACTGCCAACTGGCCTGCATCTGTGACCTGCAGGCCCAATAGCCCCTGGAATGCAGGTGATTACTGGAGCGCCTTTCTCAGCACTTGCTAATAATGTCCTCCGTTTTTTGGTTATAAATTCACGCTTTGTTTCTCACCCAAATGAATCCATTTTTACTGGACTCCAGAAAGACTGCAGAGTTGTCTCTGGGCCTTCTCAGAGTGTCACTGCTGAGAAAGTCCTCTGCTTTGCTATCTAAGTTTTTGGCAACTTTCATCCACAGTCTATGTATTTCCTGAACGCTTGGATCTCTGGGTGTGGTCCTGAGAAAGCTGGGCTCTGTTTCAAGTCTCTGTGGCCTTGAAGGAAAGGAGGCACAGGGCATTGGCTTGGAGACATGGCTTAGTCATTTCCAGCTCCGCTGTTGGGCTGAGATTCAACTTCACCTCTTCAGCAGCAGCCGTGGTGTGACATCGAGGATCTCACGGAAGCACCCGATCATTTCCAAAGCCCTTTCCCTGCGCTGTGCCATCCTCAGACAGGCCTGGGGGAGAGCAGGGAAGGTATCTGCCATCTCCTGGGAGGGGTGCGGGTCCCAGGCTGAAGGCAGTAGCCCAGAGGCTCTCAGGATGACTTATCCACTGTTGAAAAAGCAGGTATTGAAGCGTTCTACAAATACTTTTTTTTTTTTCCTCCCTTCGGACCTGTTATATCTATGTGCATAGATGCTGGGGGCACATTTTGTATCTTTGGGATGTGATGACCTCACTGTCACTATGTAATAACTTTGACTCTTGTGAGCATTTGTGACTTAACATCCACCTTGTCTATAATGACTTGCTAATATTTTTATTTCCTCTGCATGCATTACTTTCTTTCATCCCTTCACATTGTATCTGATTGTCTTTAAGTGAAATGTGTATCTGTAGGCAATATATACACAACTGGGCCTTATTTTTGTCCACCTACTCACACTGCTATTTTTGCTTGATGAATTCAATATTTTTAAATTTGGAGTGATTATTGATATGTAAGAACTTGGTGCTGACAACTTATTATTTCCTAAATGTGATATATTTACATTCTAGCTTTTTTTTTTTCCTTCTGTTCTGCCTTCCTTTGCAGATTGGCTTTCATCATGTACATTCTGCTTCCGTTTCTAGCCTGGGTTGTTTGTTTAATGTTTCTTTGGGGAAACCAGGATTTGGAGCTTTGAAATCTGCCTTTTTGTTAACATCCCACCATGCTACTAGTATTTGTTTATAGTTTTAACAATTATCAAGTAAAAGCATGAACACAAATTTAAAATCAAACAATGTTACAATGTTCCCAGCAATAAACTTGAGACTTCTTTACTACCTTCTCCTCTTCTGGCCCACTCTTCAGAGACAGCACTGCAAATCTTCCAGATTTTTTGTCCAGTATTATGACTTTGTTTCTAATAACAGGCTTGTACTGACTTGTTTCTTACTGCTTGATGTCACACAATAGCCACTTTTCTCCTGTGAGAGAAGAGATTGTAAGTTTCCAGTGACTATGTTCCCCTATACAGCTCTTCCCTACACTTTTCATTCATTCAAGGTGCCGTCCCTCCCATTACACTGATGGAAGTCCGCACCAGGAAGACCCACTGGGGTTGCTGATAGTGTGCGGCAGCTTTGTGGCGTAGGAGTAGCTTGTTGGATGGTTTCAAAGAGAAACTCTGCCAACTCAAAAATATACACTATTCATTGCTTTTTCATTTTCAGGTCAGGAAGTGTAGACAACAACTGGATTTTCACCTATGGATTCATAGAGGATTTCCTCAAAAAGTTTAAAAAGTATGACTTCTCCATGTGGCGGGGGTTTTGCCATGCCAGGCAGAGTGCTTGTCTGCTTAGACTCAGTGGGCATGGGTGTCTCTTGGATCAGCAGCATGAAGCCCCAGGTGGAGTTCTGAACCAGTCAAAAACGCAGTTCACTCTGGTTCCTTCGGCTCCAAAGGTCCTAGAGATTGTTAAGAATGAGGAAAGTCAGCGTAAAGAGAATCATCAAGGAGACTTCCTGTGGAGTCAGTCATCTGACTAGGGGAGAAGAGGGTTAACTCACAAAGGGGTGCAGTTGGGACTGGGACAGGGCAGCTTGGGGTCAATGTCAAAAGGGCTCATAGAGCCAGGCCAAGGGGCCTGGATTGCAGAGAGTTAAAGGAAGTTATAAAGGGCAGGGGTGTGAGATGATGAGGATTGTGCCGAGGAAATCTGATAATTGTGGGTGAGATGAGTGGAAATAAGAGCCAGGAGCACAGGGAGTTTAGCAAGGACCTGGTAGCAATCCTCTAACAAAGGGGGCCTGTGACCCAGAGGCCATGGGCAGGGAGAGGGACAGAGGAATGTGAATGAGTGGCAAAGGGGACAATAATTTCTCTTAGATGGGAGGAGAAAGGAAACATAGACCAGGAGGGAAGGGCCCTGAGTTTCCAAAAACGTTACAGTAGAAGAGAGGCTACAACAGGGCAGGCATGGGGACATACACCGAGTATGTGAGGCATGAACCATGCACGTGTGTGTGTGTGTGTGAGAGAGAGAGAGAGAGAGAGAGAGAGAGAGAGAGAGAGAGAGAGAGAGAGAGAAGGGTAGAGGTTGGGATCTGGGGATGGTACAGGACACCACCCTGACAGTCTCCCTGGAGAGCCACATATTTACTGGCCTCAGATCCTTCACTAAATTTATGGTAACTTCTGGAACTCAGCAAGTGCTCCCAGGGTAGAGCAAAATGAGCACAGACAGGCGTCACCTCCCCGGCTGCTCGTGGGGTCATCTAAAGCCTGTGCTTAAGACTCTCACAAACACGTGCTTCCTCCCCAGCACGAACATGCGCGTCTCGATCGTCACCTTCTCCACACAGGCCCACACCGTCCTAAAGCTCACCTCGGACAAGTAAGTTCAGCTTCACCCCCTCAAGGCAGACATAGTGGTGCTGGGAGGGGGGAGACGGAGGCCACAGGGAAAACTCTGCAGAGGAGTCCTGAGTTTCAGTCAGGAGCCCACAGGCTTCAGCCTGGGCTGGCGTGGCTTCCCCTCAATATCCACCCTGACCGCCAGCCTCTACTCCCAGCCCCTTTGATAAAGCCTGCACTCTCACTGGCAGCCCCTGTGTTTCTAGACGATCTCCGCCCCTCCAGCCCTGTCCTTCCCCTGTCCCAAGTCCTCATCTCAGTGACCTTCCCTTTTCTGAGAATGGGATATGTGAAGATTCTGGAGTCTGATGGAGCAGACATGAGGGTCCTTTATGAACACGGCCCCGTTGGGGACCTGTGACAGTGGGGAAGAGGGGGATGGAGAAGGACCAGGAGGAATTTGGGGGGGCTTCAGTGTGGGGAGCTTGGTTCCTGGGATGGCATGATTGGGACCTGAGCACAAGGCGGGCTGCATGCTTGTGGAGGCATGACACAGGCATCCCAGCTGGGCATAGGCGGTCCCAGAACTGTGCCCAAAGACCTGAAGGTGGGAAGTTCTGGAGCTTCTGAATAGCTGGAAGGTTAAGGTTCTCATCAACAAGAAAGACTGGACTGCAGTTCTTGTGGGCAGAGCACCACAAAGTTTGTAGCCATTTAGGACCAGAGCGGCCCCAGGGCTTGTGTCATCACCCAATGTCCAGGACCATGGAGAAAAGCAGGGCCTCCAGTGAGCAGGAACAGAGGCCTGCATGCAGGTGTGTGCAGATGCAGTGTATGAGAGCCGAGACTTAGCTCCCAGAAGAAGAAAGGAGTGAGCAGACTCTTTCCTCATGCGGAGGAGCAGGATTTGTCTGTGAGGCTTTCATTTAGGAGAGAGCAACTTCAGGGGGCTGAGGTGGAAGAAAGCGAGTTTCTGAGGAGAGATTCTCACAGGTGACAGAGAGAGGCAGAAGGGACTGGGTGTGGCCTCTAGTAAAGAGCTGCCCCTGAGGAGAGGAAACCAGCACCTCCACTAGGACAGGTGCTCAGGGCCCAGACACTTCGTGAGAGCTGTGGGAGGCTCTTGGATGGATCCTGACCCTCTCTGAGAGTGTAAGAGGGGACCTCAGCCCTGAGGAAGGGTGTGTACTTTGGGAGTGGAGCACAGGGTAGTGTAAATCATCTGAAATCCTGTGTCTGGGGTGGTGACATTGTAAGAGAAGTGGGGCTGGCTGAGCATCCCAGGAACCTGGCTTCATTTCCATGAGCAGAGCTGGGAGTGGGGTGCAGGGAAAGTCCAGGGAGAACCTACTTGGCCAGAGCAAAGCCTGTCTGAGCTGGGTCCTGGAATGCAGGTGGGGTGGGTACAGTTGACACAATAAAATTGTCCAAAATCTGTCAAGAGAAGGGGAGACTGGGCTGGGCAGCACAGGACTTGGTTTGACCTCCATTTATCATGGTTCCTGGGCCCTTCACCTCCTGGGCTGGCCCAATCAGGGCTGGACCTGGGGCTCTCAGACCTTGCCCCATGGCAGTAATTCTGTCTGCAATGAGAAACCAGCCTTTAGGAGGACCCGCTCTCCTCAGCCTTGCTGTGCCAGCTCAGATCTCCAGTTTGGATCAGCCTGTCCGAGCTCCATCCCACTTGTGTCCCACTCCCACCTGCTATCTACTTTAGCAGCAGCTGTAGAGGACAAAACTGTGGCCGCCTGCATGGGCAGCAGTTATGGCCCCTTCCTGAGCCTTAGGTCCTTCCTGTCAGGAGCACTTGAAGTCAAGGAGCTCAGCACTCAAAGCAGCTTTGCTGCTTCCTTCAGAACCAATCCTGAAGGGGAAGAGGCTGTGGGTTCCCAGTCACACTCAGCGGTCTGGGCAGGGAGGAAGGGACAGGGCAGGGGTATTATCAGGGTGACCCTTACCAAACTCATCCTTGCCTAGTGGAGGGTCATGTGCCCCACAGGGGAGCCCTGAGGTGCTGGCTGTCCTGGCAGTCCCATTGTGAGTTCTGGGTTCACACTAGCACAGACACAACTGCTCCCCACTCTGTCTGTAGATGGTCAGACAGACCCTTCATGAAGTCCCCCTGGGGCTGTGAACCTGATATAGCGATGAGTACTGAGATCAATTTCAAAGACTCCGGGCTGAAGGGCCATGGCAGCCTTCCTGACTGTGGCCTCCTCGTCCAGGTCAGTATGCCCAGTGCGGAATGTGCCAGCACGGATGGGGTTGTTTAAGAACACACCACCCTTCTTCCTACTGCAATACCCCTATTTTATTTTATTTTTTTAGAAAAGAAATAGAAGAGGGTCTCAACCAACTGCGGAACACAGTGCCTACCGGAGACACAAACATGCAGGAAGGATTTAAAGCGGTACAGCCAGAGCTCTAAGAATTTATCCTGCTTTAGCAAGTGCTCAGAATATCTGAGTCCTCTCAACAAGCCTTCTTGTTTCTGCAGGTCAGTGAGCAGATCTCCACAGCAAACCCTGAAGGTAAGCTCCTGCTCACTTCGAGACAGGTCGGATCCAAGACAGTCAGGCGGGGGGCTCAGCAGTCTGGTGGCCCCCACTTGCGAGCTGACTCTTGTGCAAGTTTCCTGCCCAATATGTCCTCCAGGCTCCTCGTCTGTGCGCAGAGGGGAAAGGGCAGCCCCCCTGATGATTCTGAGACTTGTGGGCTCGTGGGTGTACATTCCTGGTGTTTAGTAAGTATAAGGCACCTGGCCCACCGGTGTTTTTGGTGGAAAAGGGAGAAAGGCCAGGGCACCTCGGGCAGGCAAGACTCTGCTTATGGAAGAAAAGAGCTTGATTTTCCCCTTGCCGACCACGCTCTGCCGCGTTCCCATGGCGGGGCTGCCTCCTTCCCCTTCATCATCTTCCCTCTGGCTGACACTCCTCCTGGCCTGTGTGTCCCCAGGCCTGGCAGCTGTGTCAGCCCAGCACCGTCTCCACTGGGATTGAGTCTGCAGGGTGGATGCTCCTGGAAGGAAAGCTGCAGCCGGGAGGACTGGTGGGGAAAGGCTTTCAGCGGGAACCAGGGGCTACTACCCAAGCATCTCTGACCTTGGTTTCTGACTAACTGGGCCCACGGAGTCCAGCACTAGTGTCCTGTCCTCTGCTGAGCCTATGGATGGTCTTGATCATGGTCTGACTGCTTCCCCATTGCTCAAGGGAAAGGCTTGCCTTTGTCCAGTGAAATAGCTGGACTCGGCCTCTCAGAGAAAAGATTCTGCTTTTTGGTAGCAGTGAGAATCCAGTAAGAAAAGTCCTCAGCCAGGCTCAGTCCCCTCCTCTGTAAAGTGGGTTGGCGAAGGTGTCTCCTCCCTCCAGGCAACTGCTCAACAGCCCTCAAGGCACTCAAAAACATGAGTGCTGGGGTCTGGCAGCCTCTCCAGGAGGAGGGAACTGGGAGACAGTGCATTACCTTCACACCTGTGGCAGGTCACTCTGGGCAGCTTTACTGACCAGGCCACTCCCTGTTTCTCCCACAGAAAAGAAATTTCACTCAATGGTTATCTCCCTGACCGATGGAACACTTTGGCCAGCGTCCTTTGAGGCTACCAAGAAAGAAGTGAGTTCTGCCCAACTTTACCAGCCTTTGCTCCACGTGTTTACTGATTTGCACTTAACACAGTCTTTGTCTTAGGCTCAGAAGATTCGACAACTGGGAGGGACTGTTTACGCTGTGGGTGTAAACAAATACATGAAAAATCAGGTAATTCAGAACAGAAGCCAACTGCGGAAAACAGTTATGGAAAGCTTTTGCGGGGTCACCCAGAGGATGGTTCTCTAACCCACCCCAAATATCTGGACAACATGTGACCACTGCAGAAATGAGTAACAGTGTTGTATGAGCCCACAGACCTGGGGAACAGGTAGAACTTTCCATTCCAGAAGGATGGGCTGCTGTCGAGGCCAGGGTGGGGCGCTGAGTCTCACATGGCATGAAGCCTGAGCCTGAGCACTGGGATGGGGTCCTGCTGGCCCCTAACCCCTGCTGTGGTCCAAGCCTTCTGCTCCTCTTGTAGCTCCTGGCAATTGCGGACAGCGAGGAGCACGTGGTTGGTGTGGACACTGGATTCTATGATCTCAAGAACATCGTTGACTCAGTGAGAGAGGGGTGGTATGGGGGGTAGCATGAGGTGGCTCTTATCATGCCCACTCTTCACTTTACCTGACCTGATCCACTGTCTGTTTCAGCTCGCAGCTAAGTCCTGCATTGAGCTTACAAGTGTGGAACCGACCGATTACTGTGTGGGAGGTAAGAGCTGGGGTCTCTTTTCTAAACAAAGGCATGTGTGTGTTTGTGTGTGATGTGAGTTGTGCTTCGATGTCTGTCATGAATGTAGTGTAAGTGTGCAGTTTAAATGTGCGTGTTGAAAATACGTAAGAATAAATTGCTCTTTATTCCCAGTTTTCATGAGCTCGACATATAGTTTTATGTAATTTGAAGTTATATCACAGAATCGTTTGACATATAAAAGGTGAAATGATTACCATAATCAATTAGTATAATTTATTTTTATCACAAAATCAAAAGTTTAATTTAAAAATGAGGAAAATTATATGTTAAATCCCTAAATAAAATGCTGGCAATGAAATCCAATAGCATCTCACAAGGAAAATACTTCAGAGCCAATTTAGGATCACCCCAGAAACACAGGGCTGATATATAACATCCATGTAATTCATCCCATCAGCAAAATAAAGAAGAGAAAATGATTATTTCAGAGGAAAAAGAAAAAGACCTAGGCAAAGTTCAATGTCCAGTGTCTTAACAGGAACATAGTCTGACCAACATCCCTCCACACCAACACACCCAGCTGATATCAAAAGGCCTCTTCTGAGAGCTGGACCAAGACAAGGATGCCCGCTCTCCCAGAGGGTCCGCAGCTTTGTGGTGAGGAGGTCTAGGGCTTCCTTTAGGCCTGAAGGCCTATGAGTGCAGGTTGTGCTGCCGCAAGGCAGGCAGTGGACAGCTGAGCCCCACAGATAAGCACCCCCTTCCCAGGAACAGCCTCACCCACTGTATCCAGGCCCAGATAGCTGGCTCTGCCTCTGTGCCCTTGCCAGGAAGGCTGGAGCACCCTGACCTGGGTCAGAGAGAAGTCTGCTCCAGCTGAGCTCTGCTGCCCATGGCCTGTCACCTGTTTTTGAAGAGACTTGAAGTCCTACCAAACTAATCACATGCCAACTTCTGTCCACAGCCCTAAATTCATTTTCTTCAAAGCAAAGAATTTACAACCAGCAACTTATGATGGCTTAGGAAGGCTTGATCCAACAGAAATCCAAACTGCCAAGGTCAAGGTTGTGCTGGCATTACCAGGGTTGGTTCCGCCAATTAACTGACCGAATTAATTGAGCAAATCAAGCACAGGGCACTGGAATTAGCTAGATCCGATACTGAAGCATCAGGAGAGGCTAATGATGACCTGCAGCAAGAAGGCCTTCATAAGTTCATTTCTAAATCCCAGCAGCCAAACCCAACTCTCTGTGTCCCCCAGTATTTATTCCAGGGGGGAAGATCCCCAGGGCCCAAAGGGTAGGATAAGATGTCCCTCAGCAAATCACTCCCCACACAGCAGAAGGAAGGGCTCTTCATGAATCACGAGGCAGGGAAGTGAGGAGGCCCTAGAGGGTCAGTAAGAGTGGGAAGAACAATCATCTTCAGGGATCTGCCTCACAGCTAAGGGAAGGGGGATTCTTTGGTACAGGATCAGCTGCTCCTTGCTTGTCTCACCTGGGTCCCACCTTATTTCTGAGCTCCTCAGTCTGCCATAGGCACTCAAAAAGATAGGGAAGAGAAACAGACCCCCAAACATCAATTGATTTCATAAGCAATCAGGCCAGGTTGCTCAGTTCAGGCAAGAGACAGAGTGGTGCAGCCTGCACTGTCTTGCTCCACTCTCCTTGTGGTGGAAGTTTGGTGGAGGCTGGACACCACTGCTGAGCCCCTTAGGGAGAAGCATGACTTAAAGATTTAAAGATTGCAAACCCACAACAGGTTTGTTCATGGGGATGGGGCCAGGTGGGAGCCTTGTATGGCAATGTGTGCCAGTTAGCAGCTGTGATGAGAGTGCCCGAGAGCTCCACCCAGCCTCCTCAGAGTGGCCCCTCAGAAACACCAGGTCAGCATCAGGAGAAACCTAGATGTTGGTTCAGAGCAGCTGCCTCCTCCAGGAGTCCCTTGGGGGCTCCATTAGGGAGTAGACTGCCATAGTGATGAGATCAGCAGACAACAGAGCTCAGCCCCTCCTTACACACATCTTTGGATGTTGCCCTTGCAGAAAACTATGATGTAAGCATCCTTGGAAGAGGTTTCCGTAACGCCAGAAACAAAAAAGAAGTTCTTTGCAGATTTCAAATAAGTGACACCATATTTTTTGGTAAGTACCTCCCTGATTTGTACAAGTGACAAATTTACCACAGACGTGTCTCCCTACAGCCACCATGCACCAGAACCCTTGATGCCCATTCGCTGAGGATGCTGTGAAGATAAAGGCAGCAATGAGAGTCGATTGCCATCAATTGCCGGAGCCACAAAAGGGTCTGGGCAAGGGCTGCACCCTGTGAGGAGGGTCTTCCCTCAGAGTTGCCTCCCTCTGCACTGTCTTCATCTCTCACTTTCCCTGAAAGACAAGGACCCCAATCTCACGAGTCGACCAGGTGGAACTGGAAGCAGACCTGGGCTCTGAGTTCATGCCAGGTGCACTGGTAGCTTTCCCAGGAGGGTAGGTTCACTTTCGATTGAGAAACAAGGCCAAGCGCGAGGTCCAGCTCCTGGGATCTGGCACAGGCACATGTTACCTGTGTGACCCTGACCCTGACAAATTTCCCTTCTTGCTCTGTTTTATCTAATATAAAATGGAAAGAATATATGAGCTGCACTTTCTAAGCTCTATGACACATAGATGCCCAACATCACGAACTGATAAAGGAAAAGACGGACAATAACCCAGGCTGTCTGACTGTCCCTGTTGGGCTTTGTGCCTTGCCCAGATGCACGTAGGCTGGGCAGGTGAGCCCTGTCCGTCCCGCAGTGATATGATACTGTCTGTGGATGCACATCTTTCCTACGAGGGGACGGCCAGCCTGTGTCCCCAAGCTGCACCAGTTCCAGGGCCTCCCAGGGGAGAGCCCACCCCACAGTCCTGGGCACCTCTGCAGAACGCCATCTGCTCCTGCCAGAGATGCCCAGAACAGGTGGGCTGGAATGTTTGCTGGGTGGCTTCTTATGCACCGATGAGGACTGATTGGTTGTTTCGGTAACATTTTCCTCTAGGAAAACATGCAGGAAAATTTTTAGAAAATACAAATAACTAAATTTAAAATCAATGCTTCATTGTTTGTTCTTAGCTGCCTTCATTGTCTAGTATTTGATAGTTTATATAGTAGTTTTTTTTTTGTTTTTTTTTAAAGATTTATTTATTTATTTATTTATGCAAGCACTGGGTAGAGTCAGAAGTGCGGAAGGGTGAGAGAATTCAGCAGAGCCAGAGCGGGGAGCAGAGCAGGCAGAAGGACCGAAGTACACTGCTGAGGGGAGCAGCGGGTGGCAGGAGAGGTCTGCGCGCCATGTGGGACCCTCAACGGTGGCCGGGGATTGAACTGGTCGTGCAGAGGCTGTGGGCAGCTTCGCAGCCCAGCGCTCAACCACTGCGCCATCAGGGGAGCCCCTACATTGTAGTTTTTTTAATGTGGCAACTGAAATATTCAGTTTGGTCAGTTAATATTGGTTGAAAACTCCTCTGTAGTCCTCCATGCTTCGATGGGCCCTCAGTATGCAGGTGCGGGCCGTCACCTCCTCCTCCTGGCTCTGGACTGTGGACACCTGATGAGACCAGTCAGGAAAGCACCTTATTTCCTCTTTATCCTGACTATTCCCTGCCTACCCTTGGATAAAAGGCAAACCCTGCCCTCTAGCACACATGATGGCTAGTTTCACTCTCAGTACCAGGAAAGGAATAACAGAGAGCAGAATTTCACAGCACAAGCACAATTTAGTAACTGCCAAGAAGCTTACTCATGTGGGAATGTACCATAGGTCAGAACAGCCCTCACCTATGACAGAGGAGAGAAAAACATTAGTAGTTTGGAGGTTATAATGACAATGACACACAGTACAAAGCAGGGAAATAAAAAGACTAAAAACATGACGCCATCCCACGCCTAATGATAAGTACCTTTAACACTCTTAAACGCCGCTCAGTAAAGCCTCATTTTCTTTGATGCATTGATAGAAAAAGAAACAAGTGGAAATGAAGAAATTGTTGGTTGTCCCACCTATATTTCTTTATGAGACAAGTTTCTAAAAGATGTTCCTAATGTTAAACAGATGCTTTAAAAACATGAAGACATTAGGGCTATCTGTGGAGAATTTTTGTTTGATTATGATCTGTTTATTTTTGCAGCATCTGTCTGTGACACCTGGCCTCCTGTCTTATCAAAATGAAAGAATATACCAAAATTCAGAACAAGTCTATTATTTTTGTGTTAGGAAAACATTTAAATGCACTCCACTCTTAGAAAGATGTTTCCTGAGCTGTGCCTGGAGGCCAGGCCTGCCCCTGAGTGTGGCCCCTCCCCCTCTCCTGCTGTTCACAGCCTCTGGGAGCAGGTCTGGGAGATGACTTGCCTTGATCCTACTGAGAGGCACAGCTGGCCTGCAGAGCTGTGGTTCCAACTAGGGTCTTGAGAAGCATGAGTAAAGCAGAAGGTCAGGGAAAGGATTGTGCTTTGGTATCATTGTGATCAAACCCATGTGGCCCTCAATTCTGAATCCCAGAGGAGAAGAATGGAAACCCTGCAGAGCTTGGCCAGGGTGCGTGGAGTGGTAAATCAGCGGGCAAAGGCAGCGGCCTCCTTCACTCAGCCAGCATTCAGGGCTGTAAAGACCAGGGACTCAGAAGTGAGCAGGCCCCACAACTACAAGGAACACTTACAGCCTCGTGACTGCCATGCTTGCACAATGTAACAGAAAACAAAAGGAAATAAAGAAAATCACTATACCCTCCTCAGAAATCCCCTATTCCAATAAATGGAGCCACCATCACCCAATTAATCTGTCAAAACCTGCATGTCATCCCTCTTTGCTTTTATCTCCATATTCAGTCCAGGGTCGGTCCTATTTCTTCAATGTCTAAAACATGTGCTGAGATGGCTCACCCCTCAACAGACTCCTTGTCCTTAGAATAAACCCAAACTCTTCCAGGACCAAGAGTTCCTGCCCACCTTCTTCTTCCTTCTGGACAAGGTCAGGTAGTGCTGCCTCGGGCTTCACACATGCTGTTCCCACAGCAGAACTCTGCCCTGGATCTTGCCCTGACTCTCCCCTCATCACAGTCACCCCCAGGATAGGCCACTCAGAGAGA